CCTTTAATGACTGCGTTGGGATGTTACTTCTACCAAAAACAGTAACACAAGCAGCCCCGGCCGAGCTGCAGGGCGAGCTATGAGCAAGCCCGGGGTGCCACTTCCATGGTGGAATCTCGCCTTTGCCTTTTTGATGACGCGAAAGCCAAACACTCCCCAGCTACCTGAACACGAGTTACGCACTGGGCTTTGAACCACCTGGACAACACCTGCTGAGAATGTGCATTTCCACCCCAGGTATTTGGAATCAGAACCTGCATTTTAACACGCTCCCCTGGGTGACTTTAGGGATGAATCACGTGGAGAGCCTATTAGAAATGAAAGGCCCTACCTTATTATTGCCTAGCATTCGATCACAGCGATAAGACTAACCTAACCCCTGGTTGTCCTCCAGAAGAAGAGGAAACGGAAGAAACTCACACAGGGGAGGCCTACGTGGACCAGGAAGGCTAGAGAACACACAGGGGCTGCAGGGCATCTCCTAGGCATTGCACGGCCACCCTCTGCCTAGGACATTGGCTTGCCTGAAGGCACACCTCTGCCTCCCTGGCCTTCCTCCCCAGGCGCCTTCCCGTCCATCTGCCTACCTGATGCCACCCCTCATCTCCAATTAGAAAGCAGAACGGCCAGGGGCACCTCCTTCCCATTCTCACCATCCCTTTCTAATCCCGTCTCTGGAAGCGGCCAGTCTATCCTCCCCTGGGAGGGCCGAGCAAGCGCCACTGTTAGCCGCCATCCGTGTCCAGCCCTCCAACCTCTCCAGGAAGGATGGCCCCTAGGGCCTTGCTCCAGCAGCCGGGCCCGCTCGCATCTGGCTTGGCTTTCCCAGATGGACAGCTGGACCCCCGCAGGCCCCGCGGACTGGGATTTGGGAAGTGGGAAGCATGACGTCAGAAGCACCGCTAGAAGCACCCAGGCCTGAACTCTCACGGGGAGGAGGCGCAGCGTCACTTCTCAGAGCCTGCTCTTCTCCACCTGCAGAACCAGACACGGTGCACGGGGCGGTCAGCACCCAGGGTAAGCGCCGACAGTGGACGTCTGGCGTTCGCATCGGCATCGTCGTGGGGGCTGCTGCCGCTGCTTGATTATTTGGGGTTCGGGGGGGGGAGCGAGGGGAAATGGCTCCTAACACCCCAAGAGCTCAAGCGGGCCTCGACCTAAGACCGGGGCGCACGTTCCCGGCCTCAGCCTCAGACGCGCGCGCTCGGCCCGCGAACCTCCCTCCTCCCGCTCCGCTCCGCCCGGGCTCACCCAGGTCCTTGTCGTTGATCCCCAAGTGATTGTCCAGCTCGGTGCACACCTTCGACACCAGAGACAAATACTCGAGTTTGGCGAGCTCTTCCGCGGGGCCGGCTTCCGAGCCGGGGAGGGCTCCCGCCAGAGCCACAGCCAGCGCCATGGCCACGGCCTCCGCCCGGCCCGCCCTCCAGCTGTTCACCGCCGGGTCGCGCGTCCACTTCCGGGACGGCTAATGACGCAGCCGGATGGACCATAGAGATCTGACAGGAAATACTTAAGGAAGGGCCGACCGAAGCGGGTTGGGCCGCTCTGCACGCCGGCGGGCGCCCTCTGTAGGTGAGGGACGCTCTAGTCCTCCCAGCGCGCTCCCGCCTCCTGTCGGCGGAGGGCGACCGTGGCCTGCGCACAGCGGTCTTGGGAAAGAAATTGTGCACGAGTCTGGAAAAAGTGGCTTGCTCGCTTGACAGTGGATCCGCGTCTCACTGGGCCTCGCTTCTTCAATAATAAAACAAAAGGCGACAGATTGTCGTTCTGGTCGTCCCTCCGGCTTTCCTTCTGTGCATGGGGAAACCAGTACAGTGAACCCTCGCCACTTCGCGCTTCGACTTCCGCGGCTTCACTCTATCGCGGTTTTTGCGTAACAGCGCATGCTCTGTCATTACTGCCACTGATTGGCTCATACTGTACACGCTTGATGCCATAAATAATATAATAAATAATAAATGATCATTGTAACGTCCAAAATGTTTTACTGTATTTTCCCTTTTTCGTTTAATAAATTGGGGAATACGAGTGTAATGGTGACTAAAGGGTGTTTTTTCATGTCCTCTATGCTCTAACTACGAAAATATTTGATTTACAAATAAGGAATCCTACTTCGCAGAATTTCATTTATCACGGTAGGGTCTAGAACCGATTAACCGCGATAAACGGGGGTTCACTGTACTTCCATTATCTATCAAGGTGACCTTGGGCAGATTTTAAATCTCGGGGCTTTCCGCTGTAAAATGGGATCATGCTCTCCAACTGGGTGTACCTAGGGCTGAATAAGATAGTTATGCAAGAAGCCTGAAACAAAGGAGGCACACGGCAAATGACAGTTGTGATAGCCCAAGGCTCAGACAGTGGTCTCCAGTGGCCTCTCAGACAATTCCCCCCAGCCTGGGGCCCCGAAGACCACCTCTCGGCCTCCTCTCTTGTGAAAACTACTTCTCAGTCCGTTTTGTGATACCAACACCGCTCAGTACTCTCAGAACCTGTTGTCCCCAGGCCGAGCCGAGCTGAACACTGAACTTAGCTCCTCCATCGGCAACGTAAGGGCCCCCCTTTTCCCCGTGGCAGCCCTAGAGTAAGGTAGAATTGTTTCCCTGCCACACTGATCTCTGTGACAGCTAAGGAAACTGAGGCACAGCAACGCAAGGGGCTCCCCCACCACTCAAAAGAGAGGGACTCGGACCGTTTTTTCGCCCCAGGTGACAGATGCAGAAGTAGGTTCAGTTCCCCATCGCCTCACCGTGAGCTACAGCAGCATGGCAGAGAGGAGCTTGCACCCTGTCCTCGCTGCCTCGGGAGCTGCGTGTTTTCACATTCTTGGGAATCCATTCTGGTCCCTCTGAGCCCTTCCTACCCCTCCCCTCTCTTCTTTCCCCCAAGAATGGGATGGAAAATCCTACCCACCTTAAACATGCGCCCTCGCTGCTTAAGATCGGGAGCAGGGCTTATTCCTCTTGACTTCCTGTGCACTTGTTTGCCTTGAAGTTCTCACATTTACTGCTCTCCTCCTGCATGTAACGGGCAGGGGACCAGACACTGAATTTGTTTGGAGAGCTCTGTGGGAAGAGGGACCACAGAATCATCCTGTATAGCAGTAGTAGCAGAGCTTTTGGGATGGGGAATCCTTGCACCTATCTCAGTTGTCAATCTGAACGTGTCAAAGTTTACGTACAGATGCCCCAAATTACAAATTTTCACGAGTGATCTTTTTAATGCAATGCATGGCATTCTACCCAAGGATATAATTGTATATATACTTACAAAGAAAGGTAAACACATATATAGATGCAGGGACCTTGACACCCCAAAGATGCACATGGATCCCCCTGTCTCTCCATCAGAGACATTGAACCAAATGCCGTTTAAAAATGGCTGTGCTGTACCCGTCATGTTGCTAGAATGTGTATTTTATACCATATCACATATGCTCTGTTGCCCATATCGTTCCTTCTCTGGCTTTCCCTGTGGCTCCTTTAACACAGCCAGCATTGTTCTCTTCCTTTCCATTAAATAAGCCATCGGTACAAGAAGAGATTTGAGCAAATACCCTGCACTGACCCCCTGCTCGCACGCCTCCATGACAGCTAAGGAAGGACTTCCCAGATCTTCATCATCACAGTGCCCGATCCTCGACTGCCCTGTGAGCAAAGGCCCCGTTCTTTCTCCTCTGCCCCCCGTGGCTGGTCCTGCTGCTGCGTTGAGGGAGACCGTGGAGCTGAGGGAGGAGGGCAGGCCGGAGCTCCAGGAGAAAGTGCTGAGGCTTAGTGACCCGTGAGGGAGGTGAGTTGGGGGAGGGTGGAAGCAGCTAAGTGTGAGTAGCTGGCGGGTGAGAAGCATCATGGGACTTCCTGCCATTAAAGCAGCATCGGGCTGCTGCGAACAGGCCTGGGCTCTTTGGGGAGACACCTCTGCGCTAGAAGGCAAAATCAGAATGCTTTGTTTCTCAGCGTGTGTGAGCCCCAGCTGCTGCAGTGACAAACACACGGAGGGGATGGCCCCTAAGCGCCCCACGTCTGCTCTCTCAGGCAGCGGTGGAGAGCCATCCTGAAGACCGTGGGCCTGGATCCGAACCCTTTCGTCTGAAGCCTTTCCTGCGAGGGGCTAGGCCCCAGAGAAAGGGAAGCCAGAGACACCCCTCGTTTTTCACTCTGGGATTTTCCCCCCAAATCTCCTCCAGATTTGAATGCGTTCAGCCAGGACATATGGAACATCTACGGTTTCTGCTCAGGCCCTGTAGTAAGTTCCAGAAAGGCTCACGATCTGAAACAGCAGTTCTCAACTTGTGGGTCTTGACCCCTTTGGGGGTGGAACAACCCTTTCACAGGGTCACCTGATTCATATCAGTAGCAAAATGACAGTGATGAAGTAGCAACAAAAATAATGTGATGGTTGGGGGTCACCACCACATGAGGACCTGTAGTAAAGGGTCGCGGCGTGAGGAAGGTGGAGAACCCCTGCTCTAAAAGGTTCTTGGGGCCTAAAGGGAGTGAAAGACATCGTGGAAGAACACTCAAGGCTCCCCGAGTGCCATCAGGTCAGTGCAGACTCACAGAGACCCCCAGGGTAGGGGAGAACTGTCCCATGGGCTTTGCAGGCTGTGCATGCTTATGGGAGTAGAAAGCCTCATCTTTCTCCTCCAGGGCAGCTGGTGGGTTCAAACCGCTGACCTTTTGGTGAGCAGCCCAACACATAAACCACTGGGCCGCCTGGGCTTCTGCACTCAAGGCAGAGCTGCGCTTGTAACTCTGGCCAGCAGAGTAGCTAAACACAAGAGCAGGGGCCTGGGGGACCAAGGAGGAGACCGGTCTGCTCCCAGTCAGCTGAGGGCTGCAGGGAGGGTCGGAGGAGACCGGCTTTGGCCAGAACCCATTTCACGGCCGGCCGCTTGCCCTGCCCTAATCCGTTGTGTGTCCGCCTTATCTTCCAATGCCCCAGCAGAGCCGTTTCCAGCGCACTGTCCCCGACCCCAAATCCCCGCTTCCTAGGCCGGCCGCCCGCCGTCAGTAACGTTGGGTGCATGGAGGCTTCTTTGCCAAGTCTTTACAGGATGAAGCCTCCCTTACCCACCTCCCAAATTAATTAATTAGGTACAAGTTCCTCTTTTTCCTCCACCACCAAATTTCCTCCTCCTCTCTCACTTCAGGGCGGTCTTCAAAGTGTCAGGCACCTCAGACACACTGAAGATGCGCACAAATTGTCGTCCCCCATCTCCACCTCCGCACCATCTGTGGGAACAGTGAAGAGGCCTCACGCCTTTCGTTCTGAGCCATCCATCCTGTCGGGACCCTGCTGCAGGATCTCGTTGGTATTCTGTAGACTCATTAGCGTAGAATGGCGTTTTAAAGTAAGAGGACGAAATCAATTTTTGTTGTTGTTTTCAAATCAATAATCTAAGTGGCAGGCCGGACCTCCCCTCACCCCCAGCCTTACCCCCAATGATCTTTACCCGGCACCGCTGCTTTCTGCCCTGTCCGGGAGGATGACTGAGTATTGGGGGAGCCTCTGGTTTCTGATTTGGGGGGAAGCTTTGAAGGCTTTGTTCAAGGAGCCCTGGTGGGTATGGACATGATGAAGCTCCCAGCTGCTAAATGCGAGCTACTCAGACCTTGTGATTTGCTCCTGCCGAGATGCAGCCTAGGAAGTCCTATGGGGGCAGTTCGCCCTGTCACCCAGGGTCAGATGGTCACCACAAGTGCTTTCCCTGGGAGAAACAGGAAAGCCCGGTCAGCCCCAGAGGGTGATCGTGGAGAGGCCAGAGCCGATGTTCTGAATGCAAACCAAAGACGTCAACAGCCGTCCAGGGAGCCTGGGGCTGCTCTCCAGGACCTCCAGACCTCCCAAGGACAGAACGACGGACAAAATTATAACGGCTTATGATTTACGAAGGCGTCCTCAGGAGCTGATGTCAAGGGCTCAGGCAGAAAGCAAGAGAATGATGGGGGCGACAGATGTACAAATGTGGTTGACCCAATGGTCCTATGTACGGGTTGTGATAAGCGTTCTACGAGCCCCCAATAAAATGATTTTGAAAAGCATATGTAAGAGCCTCCCGGAAGAGGAGTCCCTTAGACTCCTTCCCCAGCCCTCCAGGCCCCGGAGGCCCAGCTTCCGGGAACCAATAAGCTGCTGTTCTTGCGCCGGGAGAGCCGCCTCTCGGCCCTGGGCTGACAGTTAGGATGTGAGTTAAGGCTGAGAGTGAAAAGCAGCAATCTGGTGAGCTAACGAAAATGAACGCATCTCTTCCCAGCGTTCACTCCACCCAGCTGAGCCACCAAAGAAAACCAGCGCACGGGGCCATCAGGGAGCTGGCTCCTGCCTTTCCGGTACAACAGAGCACCAGAGTTGAGGGGCCCCTCCGGCCCCCCGGCCTGGTTCAGTAACGATCAC